TGGCATTAGGTCGAACTGCCGAGTAATATTCACGCCCACAGTGACAAAACCACGGCAATTAACAACTCGGTTACGGGAAGACAAACAAGCATTACATCAATTAAGAACCCCTCCAGCGATGGAAACGAATACTGCCAAATATAGCAGGCGTGTGACGGCCTGCCAACCGCGCCCCATAAATAGCGCGCCCCTTGTGTCCTATATTACCGTTTTCTACAAATGCCTCGGATATTTATTTCGAGTACCCCGAAAGTTCAGACTATTAAAGCTCTTATTTCAGCGACCCCGGGTCTTTCGTCAAGGACACTAATTAGCAAGCGGTAGAAGTTGTGCACTTAGGTTATTATATAAATTCCGGGACAACAGGGTCTACTTGGCAGCGGTTTATCCGGCATAATAACAAATGGCGGATATTAGCGAAAGCTAAATAAAATAAATAGTCGACAGAGCATAGCAAATAAGGGGTTGTAGACCATGAAGTGTCAGTGGCATTAGGCCTTTGGACATTCATTCTGAAAATTGTCTCACTAAAGAACTTCCCAAACCGCAGCTCTATGATGACGCAGCAAAGTCCATTTAGCACCCAACGAAATCTTCGAACAGTAACTTGCAGTGGAGCGAACTTTTCAAGGAACTTCGACCGGACTTCACGAAGATCTGTGACAGTTAGGTCGAACAACAGAATATTACGCATACCGCAGCAGTCTGTCTCGCCTACGGACTCATTCAATGGAACCATCATTTAAAGCCGGACAGGCTCATGACCGTTGGTGGCATTTATGCGAGGTTGCAAAATCGAGGAGACTAAAATCTTCAATGGCCTTTTCAAACGGAAAATAGTAAATACAATGTCCCAACAATCAAAGAAACATGGCATAACGTCCCGCTGCTTGAAACTTTGACAGCCACATACGAAAACTACACTGGGATGTAATTACCTAATATACATGCCCATCTTTTCTAAGAGAACTCCAAATTAATATACAAGGAGCATGAACCGATCTATTCTGGCTGTGAAGCGGAAAAAAAATTTCGGTCTACCTTTAAACCCGTAGTCTGAAGCCCACACGGACGGCCTATGACGACTATCGAATAGCTGGGAGGTGTTTGCAGGGGAAATGAAGGCAAGCTCATGGTCATTTTTCCTTCTCACTTTAAGCGCGCATATTCGAGACGCAAGCCCCAACCGAGTTATTACTAAGCACAGCCCCTAGTATTTTACTACAGGCCACTTGGCAATGGCTGTGATGGACAACACGAGCGACAGACACCGATCACTTCTCATGGCAGGAATGAAGTAAATAGTTCTGTTTTGCCGTGGGACTGAAGATCTACAACCCATATAGACAAATAACAATGGGTAAGGGGTGTTCTACTAGAAAAGTGGACCAGCCGGTGATAGCCCAACACTAGCAGCTGGTACACAAGGCCCGAGTCAAGTAATTAATTCACACTCCTGTCCCTCAATCTTATTGGCTAGTGACGGAAAGCAAATCATACATGGTCATTCTAGTGCGCCTGTATTGATCTGCATCTGTACCCACGTGGGTGCTCAATAAAACACTATTTACGCTACTCGTTGCCAATGGCTATGCGACCACCGGTGCGCTCGGAATAGACCTGTGTTTTCCGTGAAAGAAATCCTCTGATCTCCGCGCAAAAAACTTTGGCTTGCACTGCAGTGGTTAGGGCGTCTTCAGGGTTCAGTAATCGGAAGTACAGTCCAAGACTACGGCCTCAATGGATGATGACAGCAGGTAAGATAAAAATGGCCGTTCCAGGTCCCGCCTTTGGGGCAAAACACCCGGTGAAATAAAAAAGACGAACTTTGTTATAAAACATTTGAAAGAAAGACTACGGTTAACGAAGGTCAAAATGGGAGAATTATCCCGAGATAAAAGAAACCCTTTATTCCGCGGTAAGAAAGAGCAATGCCAGGCCCTACCGAAAGACTGATGGTATACTGTAGGACGGTGAATATTTCGGACCGAGGATGTCTGGCACACCCAAAGTATCTTATAAACGGATGGACAACTGGAGGACATAAAAAGTCCTTACGACCATTTTGCAAGATCATAAGATTAATTAACCGATTCTGAGAACCTGAACATTTTTCTAATAAGTAGGATACAATGGAAAAATGTCATTCCGACTCAAAGTTTCATGCAAGTTACCTTACTTCAATAAACAATTCTCTAGAAACCCGCCAGCACCAGAGTA